GCAATGGCGGTACTTGTGCCAGTCGTTGTCCCATTGCCAACCCTCTTATTTGAGCGTAGTACTTTCCAGACCATCTGAAGTTTGAGCAGCTTAAGCATTCTTTTAAGAGTGCCATCAGGTGCTCTATCCTGAAGCCATACATGTTTATTTCTCCTTCGTGTTGTGTGAGGAGTTCGAATATGGCTTGCATTGCGGAGTCATTCGACACGTTTGTATAAAGGGCGGTAACGTCGAAGGACTCCATCAAGCACGCGCTGTTGGGCTGCTATTCGTGGTTTAGTTTTCGGTATTTACTTTTGAATTCTTCCTCAGATGATGGGCGATAAAGCGAAGCATCTTCAAGATGCTTTTTCGTTATCTCCACATCTAACTGATGAGGAATTACGACAAACTCTCCACCCTTATCACTAACGGAAAGTCTTATGGTTTTCAACCTTATCAGGTCTCGTACCTCTCGCATACCACGTTTTTGCACTGGAGTGAGGTTGGAGCTGTATCTTTTCGCGCGATAGTGAATAAGGACTTTGAGAGTTTCATTCGCAAACATCCGAAATTTAACATCAACTTCATTATTGGGCTCTTGCTATCTAAAGAACGTTGGGGGAAATGGTGCTATTGGCAGGGCCCCCACCTGATGTTGTTCGCACCTATTTAGCGCTTCATCTCTAGCTTTTTTGCGGAGTCTATCTTGAAGTTCATGTAAACCACATGCGACCCTACGCAAGGTTATCTTAGAAATGGGTTCAGATGGTGAGAAACTCGGCCCCAATTCTAATAACGAGCGCGCACCGTCAGGGAGAGTTATGCCTCCTAACACGGTTAGCCTTGAATTTTCTTGCACATTACCTATCCTAATGTGATCTGTTTGATGTTCTTTAGCGATATTTTTGTGCGCTTTTGAAGCTGTACTATGTGATTTACTCAAAAGGTCTTCGTATTTTCCTCGCAAAGCCACTTTAGCATTAGACCTAATAGAGTTGCAAATCAACACTGACCCGCTCACTATTCTCCTCCAGAGGTGGTCCTCCAAATATTTAGCACAAAAGTTTTCCTTCGTCTCGCACTTCTTCCACTTGGCGAACATCTGGTTTTGTCGGCTTCGTAGACAAGTGCGTATTTCGTATTTTCGCTCACTTGAATCGCATAGAAAAGATGAAAAAACTCGACAAGTGGGCGCCGCACGAATTAAGCGATAATTAAAAAAACCGTCGTTTTGAAGTGTCGTGCACTCTTATTCTACGCAACAAAACGACCATCTTCTTGACGAGACTGTGAGATCCGACGAGAAGTGGATTCTGTACGACAACCGGCGATGTTCAACTCAATGGTTGAACTGCGATTAGACCCCACTGCACTTCCCAAAGCCTAAATTGCACCAAAACAAGGTTGTGGTGATTGTCCGGTGGTCTGCAGCCAGGCTGATTCATCACAGCTTTTTAAGTTCAGGCAAGACGATTACAAAAGACGATTATTGGTAACAAGTCGATGAAATGCGCTGTAATAAACTCCAACAATAACGACCGGTATCAACAGAAAACAACCGATCCTTCTCCACGACAAAGCCCGACCTCACGTTGCGGAACCAGCGCTGCAAAAGTTGGATGATTTCGGGTACGAAACTTTGCCTCATCAGCCATATTCACCAAACCTCTCGCCTACCGAATGTCACTTCTTCAAGCACCTCGACAACTTCCTACGCAAGAAATGCTTCATCAACCACGATGACGCAAAAAATACCCTCAACGAATTCATCTCTTCGAGAACTCCAGAATTTTATGCAACTGGAATATACAAATTTGTTTCTCATTGGCAAAAATGTGTGGATTCAAACGGTTTTTATTTTGATTAATAAAGTTTTGGTTGAAGCAAGTTGTTACATTTTAAATAACATGGTTAAAAATGCTCATTTATTTCTGAACAAACTAATGTTTCCGCACGAAGTTACCTAATTGCTACGGAAGAAGAAAAATTTAATTCAAACATAATACACCAACGAGAACGTGGTATGCGCCAGATTCGTGAGCTCGTAAACTCGAAAAGCTATTGTCTTCATTTCTAACGTGGAAGACCCAGTTCTCAATCGTCGTCTTTTACTCTATATCGAAAGTCCAGCAATAAAAACGTACTAGTGCACAACCTGTCTTCTTAACTCTAAAGTGTAAACAAAGAACTTGTCCGAAACATATATCCAACAGCTACAAGCGTTTGCACAGGAAGAGGAGAGAGAAAGGAGTCATCACACTAGGCATGATAAATAACAAACCCAAACAGGTGCGAAACGATGGCCACCGAAGTCATGTCAAAAAGGAGAGCTAGGCCCCATAATCAAAATAATACTACCCCAAACCCAAATAGGAAGATCCCTTTAAAGCTACTCTTCATATCAAACGAACACCGCTACCTTGTGGAATTTATAGAAAATCCACCTAGCACTTTAAGTCAACAATTGCCTCGGAACCGCCTATACGACCGGCTTTGTAAAACAGAGGATTGCATCACTTGTCCTAACGGTAGAGGAGTCTGCATGAGTTCAGGCGCAATATACCTGATCTCTAGGAAAACTTTCCGTAATGGACACAATGGAGAAATGGGTAGACCGTAGAAACAGTTGTGTCGGCATAAAAGATGCCTAGATGGAATGTGGAAAACTCGACCAAGTGCTCTAGGTATACATAAGGCACAGAAGCGCAACGGTGACGATGTTGAAGTGGCAGTCACAATCCTGGGGTAGGAATAAAAAACATCAGCACCCAAAATCCTTGAGACTGTTCTGATAAATTTTGAAAATTCAAAAAAAAATACAAAGGGAGAGAGTGCCTAACTATCACAGGTGATAAGGATCCTTAGCACAGATTGACTTTCTGATCTGAACAAGGTTTAATGCTCGTGCTGGGTGAAGAACACACAGGTAACATTACTCTAAAGAATTCCCTTAATAGGCAGATTTCTAGATTGGCTATTGAACTAGATTTTCACTGAAATTAGGGAACATCAACTTAATATTAAAATATAGTATGGTGTATCTAGGCTCTCAGGAAGGCAACATCATCGAGACATCAGCCATTGTATTAGAAAAAGAGGAGATACCAATCTCGTGTTAGCTTAGATAAGAACAATTCTTTCGATACTGTTGATTATTCATACTGAAGTCAAATGAAAGTCAACCTTTCGAATTATAGGAAACTTCGACTACTTTACTAAAAATATATGAAGAACGCTTAGTTGAAACTGAGGAATTACCTTTTCCGAGTACTTCTCAACTCTGCTGGCTAAAGAAATTTTGTCTTCAGTCAATGCCTCGACCTGCCCTTGAAGATCGTCGCTGATTGTCGCAATCATTAAACGTTTCAATTCAGCACTCAGTTTACGTTCCATATCTAACTCGAATTTCAGCTCAGTTAATTGCTTCTCCAATGCGATTTCCTGCAATTTTTGCACTACCATGAGATCCATGATTTCCCGAACTTCTTCTCAAAAGTTTACAACGGACCAAATAAAACATTGAAAAATGATCGCAGAAAAGCACAACATAATACTTCTGATCTATAAACGGCTAACCTTTTCAGAAGCTGCGTGCTCGTTTTGCTTCACTTGGTTTCTTCTAGCATCAATCAAGACTGCCTTGTTGTTAGAATCCCTAGTGACACCAGCCATTTCGGTTCCGTAGGGAATTAGTTGTGGAAGTTCAGCTGGAGCTTTGCCCTCCCTAAAAGAAAAAGTAATGTTTGGGTCATATTTTCAACAACCGGGTTCCAATTAGGATAAAGGACAAAGAATAAGGATCTCCGCGCTGATCAATCCCTGAAGGATGCGCCATACATTCAACTTCACTAAGCACCGTTGGAGGTGATTGAATGCAGATCTGGCTTTTACAATGACTCGTGGTGGCCTACCGATGAATCCAGCCAGTGCTGCTATCCTCCCAGAAAAAACTGATACCAATTTGTCGAGCCCGAAGGGACGGAAGGCTTGGTGAGCCATGGGCTCCTGGGAGATTCCATGTGTGTGTGCATTGCAGGGCGTCTCCGACCACTGCGCTACACGCGCCCAGACAAACGCATTACGTATATACATATATTCACACATACATATATACATATATATATACGTGCATACATACACATATATACACGTGTGTTTGTACACGTATGCATATCCAGACTAATAAACACACGCGGAATACAAATTCCTTTTCGCAAAGTATACAAATAATCGTATGAAATGAGTTGTTCAAAGAACAGTGGGGAAATGACATGGCATATCGTACCGATCTGCACTTGGAGCAGCTTTGAATGGCTCCCATGGAATGAAGCGTGGTTTCTTCATTTTCGACGTCTCTTTTGCACTTCTCTTGTCATCGTCGCATGATTTCTGAAGCTCAATGCCGTTGCATAGAGATAAGACATGACTCTCATGGGCCAGATGAGCGTTAGCCAGCTCCATAGTCAGGACCGTACGGTTCCTCCAACGGAGGCCGAATCGGCTCCAGTCAGTGCCTGAATAACGAAACGTCTAATGTAGGACTACTTTGAAAAGCGAAGACAAGCATGAAATTCCGGAACACCGTGAACACAAGAGCATTGAAAGCAACGCAACCAGCCAACCAAATATAGATGTTCGCCACTGGAATTGTCCAAAAAAAAAACAACAACTGTCGAATGAATGCTACGTAGAAACGACAATCGCAGGAGCACGGATGGGACTGGAAGCAAACGCGGCGGGTCTTAATATGCCGATCCCGAGGAGCACCATTTCGTCGTTGGAGCGCAAAATCTTAGTCATCTTGCTGAACCTCCCTTTTCAAGAACATCAACGCTTCTTCTGACTCAGGCACTCCTCACAATCCATAAAATGTTAACTTACTTGCTTAGTACTACATAAATTCATTAACGTTAAAACCTAAGTGATGCAGTTTTACCCCTATCTACGCAGTAATCGTTTTTTACACCAACGATCTGTGCAGTTGACCGTCGAGGACATCGCTTATATTTGCGGGTTATGTTTATGTTTATCGATCGGCCTTATGTTATCATTTGTGGGACAAATTTTTATAAACTAGTTCTTTTTTGCATGGAATCAATGGAGACTCAATGTCTTAACTTCTATTCACTGCCTATTCGTATGGCAAGGTACTTACTAGGTGAACCATAAGGATGAAATAAACTGAAATGCAGAATCAGACCGCGGAGTCTTCCAGAATCTGGCCTGGCGTTTGAGTTTTGCAAATATCTCAGCATCATTGTGGTTGTATTCCACAAACGAAGTTAAACTGAGATAGACTGCAGCTTCAGTTAAACATGGTTCAATGCCGATTTGTTCCCACCAGATCATTCCCGTTGACGGATGATTTCTGAGAGAATGGTTAGAGTAAAAATATGGCCGAAAGAAATGCAAAGCTAGGGCCTCGGTTGGTGTGATGGATAGCACGTGTGTACCGGGTGGGGTAATCACGGGTTCGAGGCCTAAGGGATATTCCGAGTTTTGCTCATATATCAGCATTGAAGTGAGGATAGCTGGTGCATCACTTGGATACTTGGATGGCCCGTCCTCACTTGTTATGTGGTCCCCAGCACAATTTCCATTTTTTCGGAGTTTTACTGGTTTGGCTACTGTGGTTCCCTGGAGTCCCGAGGCCAGCTTGGTCAAAGCCTGACCCAGGTGTCCACCACCACAGGCATTCGCCACACTTGTGAATCAGAGGGAGATTTGCCACCACGCGACTAGTTTGGTACCAGGACGGTGGTGGATCCTGGTAGTGGTTTATTTTAGCCCAGCTTCCTGGTGGAAACGCCGGACCCTTTCTCGGTATGGGAGACGATGCTGGGAGAATGTATGCCCCCGCTGTACATCGCAATCCGACACCCAGGAACACCGCCCAGCCATGATTAGGCGGTAAACCGTTAAGAGGTTTGCGTATTAGCAGAAAAAAAAGAGGAACCTATTTAAAAGAGGGACATTTCTCAGAAAATCTCCAAGAAACCCCTTAGACGATAATCCTATCTTGTTTATGCTCGTTTATGTTAGAAAGCTGTAATGTTATTCTAGGGAGAAAACGCTAGAGAGTGACGGGACTACTACGTTGCTGGGATGGAAAGAAGAAATTGACAGCGTTTGCCGTCGTATGTAAAAGAAAATCGAGGTAAGTCGACATGGCGTTTTCATCTGGTATTCAACAGAAAGGTAGAGTCACAGTGGTTTATGAATTGTTATTTTGCTACAAAGTGGGACAGATGGAAATCTACAGTTATAACATAGTCAGGTTATGGATTAGATGAACTTGTTGGTCAGCTTGTTTAAATTGCTGAGCCTACACGACGTTGATAAAGATGTTTATTCGGCTAACGTTTTGACGTCTTCGTCTTCATCAGAGCCGATGTGATCCGAGTTAATGATCAACAATCGTTCATCTTCTCGATGTGGCGTCTTCGTCGTCGTATCGAGTCCGATCTTCGGATACAACTTCTTTAAGTTACTAACTTTTATGTCGATTGTCAATTTCAAGTATATGATCATCGAAAATGGCTATATAGGTGTTATTCTCACCTCTCCACTAGTTTTTTATTCATATTCTCCAAATAATTCTTAACATCATGTCAGTTAGCTAATAAAGAGGTTAGTCAGAAGTCAATCTTTCGAACCATGTCTGTTTTTGTTTTACATGACCCGTTTTCACATTTACTGTACGGATTCCAGCACGTCTTGCACTGTTTCCCGGCATCCATTATCCACCAATATCCTCGATCGTTTTGCATATTGTTTCGGCTGCTGCTTGAGGATTTTCGCCTTCTCTACGAATCTTCTTGAATGTTCGTAGAGTAGATTCTCCTTTAAGTCTTGGTATAGCCGTGCTAAGTCATGGAAAGATTGGACTATGCCAAGAGAAATCCGGTGCCAATTTCCCAACTGAACCCGGTGTGAGGTTGGGGTTGAACCGACATCTTCGTAGTTATGAACAGCATCACTATCATTTACCACTTGCGCTCCGCGTCTTTGTATTCATGGTCCTAGCTTCAGAAGGACATACTTTTCAGAGACTGTCACTCATAGCGTTAAGGATCAACAGTTTTCCTTACAGATCTATATCGTGCTATAGTGTCAAGATAGGATACTGTAGCTTTGACTTCACTTTATCGTCGTGAATCTTTCCCATTTCTCTGGTCAGATTTCCACTGTAGTATTAAGAAAGGAGAGCATGTTTTATTTATAACGTAGATAGACATAGAACTGGTTAGTCCACACATAGCTAGTTACGTTACTTTCGACCAGGTTCTGATTGCGAAGATAAAAAGCTAGTTTTTTGTGATTTATTGTCAACTTACTGGTGATTTCAGATAGTTTTCGAACTTAATTGATCAAAATAAACAGGTAGACCAGCATTTCTTATTAGAGATTTGAGTTTTAAGTGTAAGAATTGTTCAAAAATGTGGTCTATTGGTCTGCTCTGTACTTTGTGTGCTTCATTTTAGTCTTAACTCTTTTATTTACTGCCTTTTTCTTCTTAATGGCAGGTTATGTTGCGAAATATAACTCGTATGAAATGCTGAGATATTTGCAAAACTCCGGACCACAGGTGTATGCAGTGGAGTTTTGCAAATATCTCAGCATTTCATATTTCATTTTAGTATTTCATCATGTCAAATCAGCCAGGTGGATATGGACAACCTCAAAATATCCCACAACAGCAGGTGTGGTCAATTCGCTCGTTTGATGGTATCTAACAGCAATCGATTACAATTACTGTTATATTCAGATGATGTTCAACCAACAGCACATGATAGGACGGCAGATGGGTCAAATGGGTGTTCAGCGACAGGTAAACCTTCCGTATATGTAGCGTTCAGTATCCAGAAATTGTAGACCTCCGGATAAGCTTGGACTAAATTTCAATCTACATGTCCAGTAAGTATAGTACAATACAGGAAAGGTACAAGTCCGGACTGTAAACGGCTAAACAGCAATTCCCGTCTTTTATGCATGCTTGCCTAGTACCTTACGGAATCGGTTGGAGAAGACTTCGAACTTCTGCTTTCTATGGTTCTCATTAGTTTCTCGAAATACATCTTCCTCTCCCTATTCTCTTTTTATTCTTTGGTTTTCTAATTGTTTGTAACGTTAAACGAGGTGTCATAGAGTGAATAAGTGGGATTTTGTACAATTTATTTTATTGTTTTCTTAATGAATCTGAGCAAAAACTTTAATGAGGAGGAAGAACCTATGCGTTTGTATTTTCTGAGGTCAGTAGGGCAATCTCACCTACAAATTGAGTAAGTTCTTTATAGGTATTACATTTGTTTTAGATGTACACTCAAGATTCCGGTATGTCTCAACAGAGCCAGATGCAGATGCATTTCTCGCAGCAGCAGCAAATGCAGCAAATGAGTCAGCAACAAATGAGTCAGATGCCACAGCTGCAGCTCCAGCAACAACAACAACCATCGGTGGGACATCAGCAACAAATGCAGATGGGAATGCAACAACATCTCAGTGGTCAGCAAATGGGCATTCAACAACAACAACAACAACAACAACAACAACAAATGGTTCAGCAACAGTCCATACAGCAACATATGCAACAAACTCAGCAAATGAGTCAACAACAAATGCATTCAGGTCAAACGCAGGTCCGTTTTACCCAAATTGTTTAAGCTATCTAGTTCCTTTTGCTTTAATAAATCTATCACAGCTAGGCTCAATATTGGGAGGTTCTCTTGGGCCGTTATCTCAACAACACATGCAGATGCAACAACCTCGTAGCCCGATGATTTCTTCCGTCGGCCCGGTAATAACTCTGCTATTTTTGGGAATAGTTTAATATATGATTTTCTTTATGGTAGGATTTACTTATGTTTATGATTTATATTAAATGTAATCGTGGGTTCTCAGGCCTCAGATCTACGTATTTTCCTTTTATTTTTATTCTAGCTACATGAAAGTTTATTACTCCGTTTATCACATTAATGCTGTGTACTGTTCAGCAACAGCTCACACCAGGGGGTGGTCCTGGTTCGCAACCTCCTGGTTCAACTCTTGCGGTCGCCAGTGCTGGTGGTCCGACCTCTGTTGGACCTATGTCGGTTCAACCACATACTCCAATGAATCCTTCCTCTCAGCAAGCAATCGCACAACCATCGTCCGTTCAACCTGGGCCGCCATCCGTAGCACCAGGAACGCCAGCAAGTAATCAAGTGTGTAGACTGTTTTATAGAAAAATTAGGTGCTGTTCTTCCATGGAATGTTGGGACATAGTTAGGAATATTTGTCACAGACTATTCAGGTTTGGAAACTGATCTTAAACAATGTTTTCAATTCATATTTGTTAGATTTTATGTTCACGAGAAACTCCAACTGTTGGTAGGATCACCAATACTATGATTTTAAGCCCCCACCCCAGGCGCCGACAATGGGAGAACCAGCCGACCTTTATCTTCAAGATCCTGTTGCTCACAGCAAGCAGTTAATTATGAAGGATCTCCGTTTTTGCATAGTTGTAAGTTTTCCAGAATGGGTAATTTTACATTTGTTTCTTGTTATTTCGCTAAAATTAGGATTTAAACCGTCGTGCCGGTGAGGCTCTCAAAGACCTCAAAGCTGGAAATGTTCCCTCAAATTCAAACGAGTACCTCAAGGCGATGGATAACCTGTTTGCTGTGTGCGATGAAATCGAAGGAAATCTGGTAAGTCTAGTTAGACAGTGGTTACAGCAATAAAAGCCATAAGCTTATGCATCTTATAATTTTTGAAAGGGCGCGCGTTGCTAAGTGGTCGGAGGGGCACTGCGATACACACGGGATCGATCCGCGCGCCCCAGGCTCACCGAGCTGTCTATCCCTCCGGGGTCGGTAGGCAAATTAATGCCAGACTTGTCTGGAAGGATAGCTGCACTAACTTGATGCATCGATAGGCCGCTGTGAGTCATTGTAAAGGCCAGATATGCATTCAATCACCTCCAAATGATGCTTGATGATGTCGGATGCAGGGCGCATTCCTCAGGGATCGGTCAGCGCCGAGAGCTTTATCCTTTTATAATTTGGAAGATTTAGGAGATTTTAAGACAAATATCTTTCTTTCTAGGACGTTCATATTTATCTTAAAAAATTCAGTTGGTAGAAGTGGAAACAATGCTTGTCTTTAGGTTTTGGTATGTGAGACACAAAAGCAAATGAGTAGAATGGAGAAAATATTCGACAAGGATGCTATGAAATTTGGGGAACAACACCCAAACTATTCAGACTCAAAAGCGGTAAGGCCTGTAAAATCTGATCTTATTATTGCCGAAATGTTCCTGGTAATGCTATCGTTCAACGGCTATCTCAAAAAACAGTATTTCAGCGAAATGTGGGAAGTGAAGACGATTCGACTGCCTACTTCTCCGCTGTAAATACTTATATCGATCAGACAAGACAGGTTAGGTCCAAGACAGTTTAATCCATAGCGGTATATGTGCTTCTGTCTTCGAAAAAGGCCATCAGTCTATCGATTACTTTACTGAATCCAAGCGTGTTTCAGCTTCAAGCTGCTTTTGATCGTGCCTTTTCACACGTAGGTCGCACACTCGAGACGATACGCAGGAGGCAGAATATGAGTTCGAATGCAGAGCAGGTTGTGAAAATGGAGGAATAGCTCGGTCTATACAGGTTATGTAATCATGTAATAATTTCTTCTTACACAAATAATGCCTATGTCGTTTTGTTATGCTATTCTGATATAGACGTTGTACTCCAGTTGATTTTTTGGTCCCCACGTCTCCTATGAAGTTATAGTTAGCTTGTAGAAAATAAAGGATAAAGATCTCGGCGTTGACTAATCCCCGAGGGATCTGTTGTGCACTCGACTTCACTAAGCATCATTAGAGGTGGTTGTATGCATATCTGGCTAAAACAATGATTGGCGATGGCCTACCGATGTATTGAATCAATGCTGATATTCTTCCAGACAAGTCTGCTATCAATTTTCCGGCTTCGAAGAGATGAAAGGCTTAGTGAACCTGGGTCGGCGAGAGATCCACCTCATGTGTACTGCACGATACTTTTAACAACCGCGCTATAATTGATTTATACAATTGTCAATAGGTTTTTGTGTTGTTATCCTCTAAAAATCTGCTAAGGTATTTTCATGTTCATCATATTCAAAAGGAATAGTTTATTCGCAACAGGCAACGTTGGAGATCTCGATACATCCCTCATATCGCACAAAAACATCACATCTTCCCGCCTTGGTAAAAGATGACAACAATAGCGAAATAATTTCGTTAATTGAACGACGAGATAAAATACAATATATCCAATACAAAACAATAGAAACGGGAGTTATTTCTTCCAATTGAAGGGATCTCTGGATAAACAGACGTGTACAGCAGCAAGAGTGAAGTCCCATTAAGTTTGGAAAGGAATTCCATCCTAAAATCCCGAGTAGCTGAATACATCTTGCTGCTTTGCCAATTCCAAAAGCATTGGATCGTCGAAGAACTTGTTGACGGAGACGTCTTCTGACAGACCTTTCCGTCTTCTGCAACAAAGTAATAGCAATTCTTAATGAGAGCACCAACTAAAATCGAAATATCGAAATGTGGAATAAAGGAATACAAAGATCACCTCGTCTTGATCATGAACTCTCTTGCAAGGTGCGGAGTAGGTTGAAGTTCGAGTGGTCTGATCACAATGGACTTATCTAAAGGATCACCTGGGACGATCTGCAATATTCAAAAATCATATGACTTGAAGGATTCTTAACAAGAAATTCGAGTCAAGGCTATGTAAAGTTGTATACCTGCCAGTGATTGAACACCGACATACAGAACGCTTGCCCTTGTGTATGAGTGCGCAAATCTGTTTCGAAACCGAATGAGTCCATCACAGGAATGAATGCCTGTAACGATTGAAAACACGTGTCCTGTTTGCTTAAAGTATTCTATACAGGTTTCAATCATTAGAAAAAAGGATGTAAACTGTCAACAGTACTACTGCACTAGACCTTAATCGAATACATTGGCGATCCAGGAATTGGGGAATCCGTTGTAACGTGTCCTCTCCGCTTCGCTAGCACTGTATAAACAGAGGAAACACAGTCGGCTGGGGCAATGACTTCAACAACAAAGTATGGCTCCATCAAACGAGGAGTGGCCATCTAGAATAGTTTGTAAAGCAAAGGTATTTAAAGTGTTATATTGGTGTGAACGTTTACATTACCAGTACAAACTCACTAGAAAAGCAGAGTAAGCACAACGGCGAGCTGTGGGAATTACTTGACCACCGCCTCGGTATAGAGGCTCTTTTGCTATCACAGCATCCAACATCTTGAATTTGACATTACGAATAGCTAAAGCGAGTAAATTAGGTGTATGGAAACAGATAAACAATTGCATCATGGGAATAACTGCTTCCTTATATAAAACTCACGTTCTTCGCAAAGAGGACCCTCCCTGGTCGCCCACTGAAAACCTTGCACAAGCGATTCACGAACGGTTGCAAGAAGTTGTTTGTCAACCTATAGAAGTCGTAGACATGATGTTATTAGCTTGTGGAACACAGAGTTTTCACTGACACTTCTGTAAAAAGAATAGGAGATAAAAACGCTTACTTCAGAAGGAAGAGTGTCATCGAGTAAGACGTTTGGACCTGCTATGTCAGGCCCAAAGGCCCATATTGAGCGAGCCGCAAGTAAGTCCCAGTCATATTTTGTTTGGAAGAACTCACCAATTCGTCGACGGTTCCATCCAATTTGTACAACCTGAATACTATGGGTATAACCAGAGCCATTTATACAATACGCCAACCATTATTATGAGCGAATAAGATGACTAAGGCATATGACCAACCTCATTTTCAATATCTTCTGCTAGACCCTTTTCTAAAGGCTCGGATATCATCGTAATTTTGTTCCTTAACAAAAAAAAAGAATCAATCCTTCGATGTAAAGCGACTTTTTAACCAACTTCTTGTTTGGTGTTTCAGCAAAACATTTCAGCGAAGACGTTTCTACTACTGTTTCACAAAATGTCACCACTGGATCTGCTACCTTGATGTCTATTTCAGAAAAGACCTAAAAATGAAATTAGTGCATTAATGGATGATAGGGAATGTTCTAAGTTACAAAATACCTTTCGCATATCATGCATAACGCTATCCATATAAAGTTCTCCTGTACCCAAAAGAACATGTTCGCCAGATTCTTCAACTCTTGTGGTAAGCAACGGATAAGACTTGTTCACCTATAGAGGAATTTAAAAGTGCATGAAAAGTAGCAAACCTCTTTCTGAAAAGACTCGCCTTTCTTAAACCATCCAACATTTTTGGAAGTTCAGAAGGATTTATGGGCTCGATAGCCATCTTGACAACACTCTTAGTATTGAATTTGAGCGGCCGGAAGATATACATCTGGAAATGAGCGACTTTCTCCGCCGAAAAACTTCAGATGGATTATTCCAACAAACATCCTCTTCATAATCTAATTCGGCCACTGTTGCAGTTTTCACAATCGGTTGGTCGATTCCTTCGATAAGGGCCCAGCATCCAGCCGGTACACGCGAAACCTCAATTTGATACCTAAAAATACTTTATGTTCAAAGAAATGCATCAGTTTGTAATTTGACCCGAAAACCTCGCTACGTGGACCCAAAGTCGGCCTACGGTTAGACGACGACAGTCTTCTTCATCCTGAAACTCTCAAAAACAATGAGAATATTTCACAAGATGGAGAGATAGGAAGAAAATCCAAACCTGTATACTGTAATTTTCTCCAAGAACGCGTACATCAGTATTACTCTCTATGGTGCCGCTCATAACACGTCCCAAAACACGAAAAGAGGTAGCATCAGAAGTCGGATAGTTCTTCGTGGTGTGCACCATTAGTGGTCCCTACCATGCGCAAATTTAGTTACTGCTATGGATTGGCACACAAAAAAGGTAAAAGTGAAAAGAGATTGCAAGGAAAATAAGAGAACAAGAGGAAATATGTACATTTGCATCACATTTGTGCATCTCGGAGGCAAGTTTGCTTTCTGCTGGTCCAAGCCAGATGTGCTCTACTTTATTCTTTGCATTCTCGATTGGCGATTTGATGTTCTTCACAACAAGGTCAACAAACGCTGAAACCTTAGAAAGATCGTGATATTGAAATGGAAAACAGAGATGACTGTTCTGTATACAAAGTCTCACCTTTAAAGTCCCCAAAGAAACGTTTGCAAATTAGTGCAATCAGTGGACGAACATTCATCTTCTGCTCTTCTCTGGTCAGTTTGATGTTTAATTCTGACATTATATGAGGTAGACACGTGTCGACGTCACCAACAACCTGCAAGGAAGAAGGATAAACTTTCTCGAAAGAGAAGTGTCTGCAGAAACACGATAGAGAAAAATCACCTGACTAAAAATCTTGTACAACGGCTCCAAAATAAACTCGATGAAAGTCCTCTGAGAGTTTGAAGTCGGTGGCTTCTTTGCAAACTTTCGAGTTGACTTATCAAAGTAAATGTCACCCCAAAGGCGTCGAGCAAATTCTCGAGCATTGATGTTACCTAAATACAGATTCATTTGGAGTGGTGATAATTTCGGAAATAAATACTAGAAAACAGCCTAACCATAGCGGTCAGCATAAATATTTGCGAAGGAAAGCAATGAAAAGCAAACATTGTAGCGACCAGAGGCAAAAATGACATTCTCTAGTAGCGGTGATAAAACAACTGTATCATCCTCGGAAAAAGTCCTAAAATAATATATAAAGATAGTTTGGGTATATCTAAACATAGTGCATCTAAAATGTACACAACTAGAAATGCTTCAAATACAAAGGAGATACAACCATAAGAATACTCGTCTGATGTAGTGGATAGCACGTGAGCCCCCGGTAAGGATAATTGTGGGTTCGAAGCCTGAGGTTCTAAGTTGTACTAATATCTCAGTACCCTTATGGTTGTATTTGGCATCATATCCTACCATGAAAAAAGAATAGGCAGCAAATAAAAGTTAAAACATAAAGATGATTATTCCCAGCGTTCACCAGTATATATCACTTCATCTATATCAAAGTATCTGCATAGGGTAAATGTGGATTTCACCCTTGCAGAGCTACTTGTGGGAGGAAATTCACGACTGGGTAATTGACTTCCATAAACTTATTGCTACACTGTAAAACGAGCAATGACGATAAAGAGTGGAGTTCTTGTACATTAAAAATGGTATACTCAAACCAACCAAAAACTCACTGTAGCAATCCATTAACTTGATCAATAACCAGTCGCAGCTTATAGTACGCATCTGACGGGGGGAGCTTCAATTCCAAAATCAGACGGTCAATCTTATTCACACACAACGTGATGGGCAGACGTTCCTGTACAGCATGACGTATAGCTCGTTCAGTACTCATCATAACCTGAAGGAACTTTCATAGGCAAAAATTTCTTGTTATCTGTAGACGAAATAGAGGGTACATCACATCGAACGTACCCCTTCATGCGCATCCACAACAATGACGACACCATCACACAGACGGTAAGCCGCAGTAACCTCATCAGAAAAGTTCACGTGACCTAAGTAGTAAGAAAACTCGTTAAAAACGTGATCTTGACAACTGCGACAAAATCTATCTCAACAGATGGATTTAGCGAACGCAATTTAGGACAAACCTGGCGTATCAATTATGTTCAACAGATAGCTTTTATGACGAGTGTCCTGCATCACGATGGTGACAGGCATAGCCTTGATAGAACATCCCCTTCAATTTTTAAAAGATTAAGAATACATCCACACAATTAATTAAAAGTGTGGACCCTAAGCTCCAAATAGTTGGATACTTGGATAGCCTGTCCTCACTGGTTGTGTGGGCCCCTGCATAATCTCCAGTCTTTTTACTGGTTTGGCCATTGCGGTTTCCTAGAGTCCTGAGGGTAGCATGGCCAAAGCCTGGCGCAGCTAAGCTCCAAACAGACTTCGAAATAAAGAACATGTCAATCAAACACACCTCTGTTGTTCGATAAAAAGCGTATCTGTGTAACGGGTATCCGCGTCTTCGGCGCGGAAGAACTCGGGATGAGTTTGCTCCATAAGGCAATCCAGGAAAGTTGTCTATATTAATGAACGTATTTTGAAAACCAGAAATTTCACAAAGGAGCATTCTCACCTTTCCGTGGTGAAGGTGACCAGCAATAGCCACATTTCTCATTATATGAGGACAGTCCATTAGGTCAGCCAGGTACTCCTTGTTGTATACGGTTTCCGGGAGATTGTGCTCCACCGACTGAAAACGATGCCTCTTTTTCCTGATTGAATGACAGAAGAAATTAAATAAACTGCCAAGACTGCAAAAACTATAAAGACGCTGAGATATCTGCAAAACTCTGGACCGCTGGTGCCTGCAGTGAGGAATGAACACGCTATTACGCTTTCCGAGAGGCTTACGCATTCACCACGACACCATGCGGGTACTTCGTTTCGCCTTTCTCTCTGCGAAAACTATTTTTAAAAAACTAACCTGAAACTTGCGCTGTGTGATCGGCTTGATGATTGGCTCTGTTAGCGGTTGAGCGTCTTCTTCTTGTACAATTGTCTCAACATTCTCACCATACACCTGGAAAACTGGCACTTTATAAGGAACTGATATGTCCCAAAAGTGTTCAAATTTCATCCAAAATAGTAAGAACTATAAGAATTGCTTCTGCGTATAACCACAAGTCAACAAAACCTCAAGAGCAGTTGCATAGTACTTCTTATCTTCGTGTAGGACTATTTGATTTTGTGGAATCTCTTCAGCATCATCTTCCATCTCCTCCTGAATCAAATGAAAGATGAATCCAACCAATATTTTACCATATGCTTTAGAATACTTCGCAGACAACTGCCAAATAAGTTCTAGCAAAGTGACAATGACCCAGCAGAAATCGAAATTTTACGAAAACCCCACCTGATCATCGCCATCGTCAGCATCCTCGTCAGCATCTCCAGCCAATGGCACATCGTCTTCATTCTCGTCATCATCAGAACCAAGTTCAGGACCAATGTAGTTCCCGAACTCGTCATACAAATCAGAATCCATGACTGTCAGCTACCTGATAACAAAGGAAATACACGAATCGAGATAGCTTCCGAATGTATTTTTCTTCTGACAAAGACTGCCAGATGGAAAGTGGAAAGTAACATGAGCAACACGCTATGATTGAGAAGAACAGAGTGCTTCTCCATACCTAAATGTAAATATTCAGTGGGAAAATTACCAAAATTGATGTTGAACATTCGAATGTCAAGCATTAGAAAATGCGGCCCGGGAAACTCGTCCGCTTCAGAAATGGAGATGGGTTAAGTGCGGACAATTTTTTCACCACACGGAGAAATATTTGAGGACCTTAAAAAGGCAGCTGGGGTTTGCTGGAATTGATAAAATAACAAAACAACTGTCGAATAACTTGTTGTTTTTGATGGTAACGGTCCACAAGACAGAATAAACCACTGGGCAACTATGATAGCCATGGTGTATTGAGAACTGGAACATAAAGAAGGAAAAAGAAGAAGCGCCCCAGTAGACTATTGAACGTAAAACCACCTATAAAACCTGGCTGAGAGACAAGCGAAACGAATGGTGCGGTGGTGAACGTGTTAGCCGACGGAGCGTATAATAGCAAGTTCGATCGCCACCGTAGACACCTGCGGTCCGGAATTCCGCAAATATCTCAGCATCACTATGGTTATATCAATAAAACTTGAATTTTTAATGAGTTGGAGGTAATTTACGTTCCCAAAAACCAATGGGAGACCTTCGAAAGTAGCTCGACTTGCTATATGGTAAGTTTTTATTTGCTGCATACTGTAGTTTTTCACGGCAGAGTAAGATGTGAATTACAACCACAACGATGCTGAGATATTCCCACAATTTGGACCACGGACGAGATCGAACCACGATTACCCATTTCGGAGGATCGCGTATTACACACTGCACCATGGATGTTCTTGCTTTGCTTTTCTCTCAGCTAGTTTTCGACCTAACGCTGCCATCAGCAGTCGATTATTAGTTTTCCACAGGGATTTTAAATAATTCGAAATCTGTAGAGATCTGTTCAGTTACGATTTCAATTTTGGGAGGCTTTTTTTGGACAAACCAGATTCAGCCGCTGCTTCTTGTGCTAAACTATGGATGTTCTGAGTTTTCACCGAGTTCGAAGGTGTGCTCGTTGACTTCATTTTCCAAGAAATCCGCCATAGAAATGTAGAGTTTCAGAAACTTTCACGCGTTCAGTCCAGTAATAGCATCCACTTCCATAATGATGAGCGGGGAATGGAGTGGCTTCCTGGTTCTTGCACTGGCCAGAATAATGAGGCCTGAATCGCCACTTAACGCTAACACTGGTTAACACTTCTTACATATTGCTTACTACAACCTTTCATGCGGCGCGTGTGGCGCAGTGGTCGGAGGCGCCCTGTAACACGTGGAGTCGATCCCTGCGCCCGTGGCCCACAAAGCCTTCCATCTCTCCAGGGTCAGCAGATTGGTACCAGACTTGTCTGGGAGGATAGCAACACTGGCTCGATACATCGGTTGGCCACAGCGAGCCATTGTAAAGATAAGATTTGCATTCAATCACCTCCAAACAATGCTTAATGAAGTCGAATGCATCCCTCGGAGATTGATCAACGCCGAGAGCTTTATCTTTTATCTTTCCACGGCAGGGTATTATGAGTGATACAACCACGGTGATGCTGAGATATTCGCAAAACTCCGCACTGCAGTTGTCTGCGGTGGGAAGCGGACGCGATATTACCCTTTCCGGAGGCTAACGCGTTCACCACCACACCATACAGGTATAATACTGGTATTACTAAAGACAGTGCGACAGTGAAAGCGCCCCAGAAATAGGATCTCTTCAGCTCCCTCGTTTCATATAGATATCCATTTGCATTCTTCTCAATGCAGAACCATCTATTGCACGTACACAATTCACGTCAATTCACCGGTTTTGGCGCGTTTGATATTCGACGTGGCCATTCCTCTAGTGACCTTAGCATTGTTGCTTAGTTCTACTTGGTTTTTTCGCAAATAGAGTGTCGTTTTCATTTTTCCAGGACCATGAGCTACCAATTTGAGAGTCCTCAATTGGAGACTGTCCGAACAAGGCAAATAGGTATGTGATTCTTTTCAAGAGATTCCGAATTGTCTCTGAAACCACCGCTTAGAATCGGAATCGCAGATCATTTGGTTTTCTCAGAGAACTTCCTACTTGTTCTCATCAGTATAAGGAAGACTTGCAATAATTGTCTTTGAAGTAGTTGTACCTCAACGAATTTGACAGACTTTAGCTGCCTTGCGCAATATTATCAACCTGAATCAACCGGTTACAAATACTATGATAACGGAGCCCGTCTGGAAGATTCTGGTTATCGACAAAGTTGGACAGGATATTATCTCTCCGCTGCTATCAATAAAAGTACTGCGAGATCTTGGAGTCACCTTACATTTGTAAGTACGACTTTATTGCTTTTCATTTCCTATAGCTCATGATACCTCCTAACGGTTTACCACATTATTGTGACTAACAGGTGTTTCTGGGTGTCGGGCTGCGATGTACAGCCGGAGGATTCATTCCCCCAGTAGAGTCTCCCAAGCTGGGGTGGAGTCCGGCGTTTCCATTAGGAAGCCCAGCTAAGAGTAAACCAGTACCAGGATCCACTACCGTCCTGATATCAAACTAGTGGCATTGTGGCAAATTTTCCTGTGATCCACTGGGTCGGGAACTGCCCGTGGTGGTGACGACCTACGGCAGACTTTGGCTAGGCTTACTCCTGGGGACCACAATATCTAAACCAGTAGAACTCCAAAAAATTGAAATTATTCCGGGGCCCGCACAACCATTGAGGGCGGGCCATCGAAATATCAAAATATAGCTCGTGTTATGAAAATGCTCTGTTGATATTGTAGATTGATTGGCTCAAAGCGAGAACCTCTCACCGATGTGCCCGCCGTCTACTTCGTCTCCCCCACCGATGAAAACATCGATTTGTTATGCGAAGATCTCAAAAAGGCTATGTATGATAGCTTCTACATCAATTTTATTTCTCCACTTTCACGTGCTCGCCTAGAAAATCTAGCTTTTGCCGCTGTTCAAGGCGGAGCAGATGGACAAGTGCAAAAAGTAAGCATCACCTTGTTTTTCTCAGATTTTATCTTCGTACTTCTCCATGAACTTGAATTGGTGTTCAGGTGGTGGATCAGTATTTGACCTTTATCTCGCTTGAAGATGACCTTTTTGTATTGAGGCGCTACAGCGAGAATAGTCCGATGTCATATTTTGGTTTGTTAACATTTTTGTTAGTAATAACTGGTATGACTTTTTGAGACCCTCAAAAGTATAATGTCTTCTAACGAAGAATACATTCCAGCTATCAATGATCCTTCAACATCGGATGATCAGATGTCAGCCTTCATTGACTCTGTTGCTGATGGCTTGTTTGCAGTGTGTGCTACAATGGGAATAGTACCTATCATAAGGTGTCCGAAAGATAATGCTGCAGAACTTGTGGCCAAGGTCTTTAGATGTCTTGTCTATTGTTTCCATTACTAGAATTTAGTTATTAGCCGGAGACATATGTGCTTATCTTGAACTTATGGGTATAAGTGTTGCAGCGCCTCGATCAGAAACTTCGCGATAACCTTAGAGATGCTCGTAATAATCTTTTCACTGTTGAAAGTGTTCGAGCCGGACAGTTGAACGCTAGCCGACCTTTTCTTCTTATTGCGGACAGGTTTGGTGTTAAAACTCAGCTCTAAAATAAAGCTCTCGGCTTTGATCAATCCCTGTGGGATGCGCGATACATTCGACTTCATTGAATATCGTTGGAGGTGATTGAATGCATATCTGGCTTTTACAATAACTCGCGATGGGCCACCGATGTATCGAACCAGTGCTGCTATCTTCCCAGACAAGTCTGGTACCAATTTTCCGATCCCGAAGGGATGGAAGTCTTGGTGAGCCATGGGTGTGGGGATCGATTCCACGTGTGTGTCGCAGTGGCATCTCCAACTGTTGCGCCACACGCGCCCAGTTATAGTATTATTATTATTTCCATTAGTCCTTCTTGAAAACTTTTTATTCACTGCCTATTTCATTTTTTCACGGCGAGATATGTGTGATACAACCACAATGACACTGAAATATTTGCAAAACTCTGGACCACAGGTGTCTGCGAACGCGCTATTACCTTTTCCGGGGACTAACGAGTTCACTACAACACCGTGCGAATCCTTCGTTTCGCTATTCTCTCCGCTAGTTTTCTATCTACCCGTGCCTTCTTGATACTTGCATCCGATTTCGTGTTAATTTTTTACATTTTACGTCTCTAAAATCTGTGTTCTATGGTTCTCTACAAATTTCTGCTTTAGGTCAGCAGATCTCGCAACAATGTTACATCATACTTGGACCTATCAGGCGCTGATACACGACGTTTTGGTAAGCCCAGATTAGATTGTTAAATTACACTAGATTAGATTAGGGCTTAGAAAAGTATATTTTGATATAATTCTAGTATTGACAGGAGTTAGACCAGAATCGAGTAGTCATCACAGAAAAAACTGGCAGGAAGAAGGAATATGATCTGTTCAGTGGCGGGACGGATAAGTTGTGGACAAAACATAAAGTAGGAGCATATTTTTGATTTTCCATCGTGGTGTATTTCATTTCTAATTCATAGCCTCTTTGAACCTTACTTTTCTTTAATTTCATTCTGTTTCCTGTTCTCAGTTTCTTTTCCGTTACGGTTTAATGTATTTCTTCGTTTACGTAGATCTTGGTGTTAATTTTATTCCGTCTTACGTTCAGGGAAGTGCCTTCCCACTTGTCGCCGAAGCAATTCAAGAGGACCTGGAAATCTACCGTAGTAGCGAAGACGAAATTAAACGTCTGAAACATGCCATGGTAGATGTTTTGGTCGTTTTCTTTTCACTTTGTTACATTAGTCGTGAAACTACTGGTACTAGTACTCCTTGGTTCCAATAATTTTTGATGTGTTTCTTAGTATTTGACTTTTCCATGAATACTATGAGATTTCTATATCGAAAATAGTTTTCCCCTCAATAGATAGGTAGAGCTTTATAACCTTTATACTATTCCTTATCCTGAGAAAAGTTTTTTTTTAGGGAATGGAAGGGAATGATGCTGATGAAGCAATGACGTCTCTTCTATCGGATACAACGGCGAAGCTAGGATCAACGGTTACGTCACTTACTCAGCTTCTTGAATCCAAAAGATTGATTGATTTACATACGAACGTAGCTACCACTCTCCTGGATTACATCAAGCTGCGGAAATTGGATGTACTATTTGAGCTTGAGCAAAAGATTTTACAACGTTCTCCACTTGGTGAGATTCATTGCGTAGTTTTATGTTTTTTTCATTATAACGTTTTGATATTAGAGTATATCATGACGACATATTTTATAAGAAAGTATTCAGAAATGCCACTTCTCCGGCTCCTAGCCGATATTAGTAACCCAGAGGATGTGTTGAGGGTGATATTAATTAACTATTTATGTCAGGAAAACATGAACAAGGTATGTTTTTTGTATGTTGACTTCTTGTTGTTTTGGTTTTATTTGCTGTTTTGGCTATGAATGTGAAGAAAAGCTTAATATAATTCATCTTATATGCTCATTTTCTTTTCTGTTTTAGGTGGAGTTGGAAGAGCAGCTGAGTTTTCTGAGAGAACGAGCTGTGGACGAATCAGCTGTACGCTTTGTTCAGAAAATGAGGTTAGGATGTTCTGTTTCTCTTGTATTTAATTCGCTATAATGTCCTTGTGTTACAGTCACCAGTAGTTCATTCGTAGGTAACTCAGTAGTTGTTGCTGTTTTAAGTGAAATCTTAGTGATATTTTTGTTTGAGTAGCAATAGGACAATTTTCCTCCCAGTTATGTTAAAGTAGTTTTGAAACTGTTAGGGGATCGTTAGTATTATTGACACAGGTGATTCTTACTTGCAGTGTAAACAGCTCTTGGCGTAGTGTTTGGTCTGATGACAGGTTAGGTTGTCATTTGAAGTTTAAATAGAGCTTTGAGTAGTATTTCCCAAAACCGATGTTTTTTTGTTTTGACGACGTAGCACGAAGCTGCTAATATAGCGTTTCTTGTATAATGGCCGGTTTTCCGGCAGCTGTTTTGGTTGTTCACCTCCTAAGAAATCAGGCCAACCACACTGTGTTCTCATAATGTAATTAATGTTCGTATGAAATAGTGAAGCCATTGCAATAGTAAACATTGCACTAACAAGCCGCTCACAAAAAAAGTAGCTCAGATGTTGCATTGTCAGTTGATTTATGGTTGAGTTTTTGACAGAATGTGTTTTTAAGGCCTATAATATTTACTTCAAGATCTGTTTCGCAACTAGGGAAGTCGGCTCCAGAAGAACATCAGGGAGCTGGCACGAAGACGATCAATATGTTCAATAAGCTGCTTAGCCACAGTTCTCGATTCGTAATGGAAGGGGTGAAAAATCTTGTACCGAAAAAGCACAACTTGCCTCTAACAAGAGTGCGTTGTCTTTCTTTTTCTTAAACTTTCTTATTTGGACAGAATTTAAACATTACTTTTTGACTGGAAAAATCAAGGAATTTGTGGTCACAGTCACTTGTGAGGTGTACTCTATTGTAGTTTTATTTTTGCCGGTTGAGGATTGAGGAGCTTAAAGAGAGTTAACAGGCTATAATATTCAATATGAGTTAGTCTTTCCCTCGATTCCCCCGATTATCGCGAGACTGGGGTGAAATATACGTTTACCATGCTGGTTGAAAAGAAATTCAACCACAGTGCTGCTGAGATATTCGCAAAACTTATACCCCAGGCCAGATGCGTAACACGCGAGCTCCCGGGAAGCGTAATCATGGTTCGTTCTGGCCTTGGGTCTTGCGAATATCAGCATCATTGTGGTTGTATTTCACGCCATCCACTGCCGTGAAAATTGTAGTGTAGGCAGCAAACAAAAGGTTAAGATTATGAAAGGGAATCCATTTTTAAAATAATAATGCCATCAGCATAATTCTCCTCATGAGTTACTATGTCCACAAGGTATGAAATTTGAAGAATTACCAGTAGTGGTCAGAACCAGTTCAAATGTGAGCAAACACATCGGTTCATCTTATTGCTTATTTTACTCCTAGATCGCGTTACTCATTTCGTTAGAGTTCGAATCTTATGTCGTCATTTTCGCTCCTAATGCTCTTAAAGTGGTACTATCTTATAAGCGTTTTTTTAAGATATATAATCCACTCTATAACCAGACCAAGAGATTCTTCGTAGACTATAGGGGCAATGTCCTCTGTGGTATTCACTCCTCTGGTTGTTCAGGAAGCACGTTTGTAAAAGTGTCTGCTCATTGTTTGTTGAGTATAAGTCATAAGTACATTTACCTTATCACTAACTCTTCCTTTTTCTCTTCTCTTTCCACAAAACTTTTTTTTTCGGCGAACATAGCTTTCCTAAAAATGATTCGTGCGAAAGGAAAGAAGGAATCTTGTTTACACATTTTGTAATGGATAATGTTGTGATGTATCTCTATGTCTGTGCTCATGAAGTTAACATATCGACATCATTTATGTGATGATATGCTTATGCAGTCCACTCAACAGCGTACACTCGAATGATTGGGAAGTATATGACAAGAGTACGGTGTCGATTCCAGCTAAAAAGTCTGTCTTTGGAAACTCCAAATCTGATACATCACCATTTAGCTGGGTGGATCGTAGGCCACTTTGTAGTGAAGGAATAAAAAACCTTGCGGAAAAAAGGCGATCAGTGCCAGTTTAAACCAAAGGCGTTATAACAAGCACTTCCATCGTTCTTAATCAAAATAGTGAAATCTCTTCTCTCTAACGTCTGAATAGAGCATTCAGTGCTTACAGAAAGCGTCTAGAGTTTTGTGTACGATTTTCACTTGATCGAAAATAGTTTTGCTTTCCAGAAGCGCAAGTGTGCAATCTTGCCGAAGAGAAATTGTGCACAGCAGAGTTTTGAAACGACTATATTCGAACATCTAATCAGTCTACCACTTGTCGTTGTCTTAAGGTTCTGGTCGAGCAGGACCATTTAATGAACATTACAAGAGTTCTACAAGCAGGCTGCAAACTCTGTCCAATTAGTCACTGATATCACCAATTGATAGTTGAAAAAGGTGCGAGTGTGCATGGTTTTGATGGAATTCTGTAACGAAGAATTTTATCCACACAGTGTTAACCTTTTCTTTGCTGCCCACCATAATTTTTTCACGACAGAGTGTGATATGAAATGCTACCACAACGATGCTGAGATATTCGCGAGACTTGCACCCAGAGCAGCGTTGGGTAAAAAACTATCTGAGAGAAAGGCAAAGCAAGGGCCTCCGTGGTGCAGTGTGTAATACGCGAGCTCCCGGAAAGGGTAGTCGTGGTTTAATCTGGCCCGGGGCCCTCAGCATTGTTGTGGTTGGTTTTATCCACACAGTTGTGACACTAAGTGAGGTGCCATGAAAGTAGGGTTAAATTTATAGAATCAACTAAATGTGCACAAACGCTCAAATCTCGGAGGTCATAAATTGTTTAGAACTTAAAATTGCTTCCCAGAATCGATTTCCTATTAACCTCGGCACTGGAGTATGAACGCGTCGTTTTCTCGTTCAACAATCGCGAGGTTTTTAAACGCGAAGTTGCTGAACAAGAAAACGACGCTTAAAATTGCGTTAAAACGTCCCCATTGGTAGCGTTGTGTGAAATCATGGCTCGCAAACGGGGGATTTGCGAGGAGCCAGCTAGACTCGTGGCCTCTGCACTCCGTTACGGCTGTCATGTTAATCTAGACAAATGGTCACATATTAGTGTCGGTCGACCTATACGGTGATTTGAAGAGTTAAGATCGCACTTTTCGAAAACGTGTAGACTTTACTACACTTCCATGTTACGAAATGTAGTGATATAGTGACAATAAAACATAAAACTGGGATTTTTGGATGTGTCGTTTTCTTGTTCAGCAATCGCGAGGTTGTTAAACAGCATACATTTACTTCCATAGAAAAACACAATACAACGCTAGCTGACGTTTCGGCAGTATCGCCTTCTTCAGAGCCTGGAAGGGTATACTGATATACAATCTACTAGGCCAAACGCTTCAATAACACAAAAAGACGAAGAACTCTCCGGTAATTACATAATCAACAACTTGAAAAACCCACCGCTTTTTCGTGACTTCCAATGAGGAAGTTTAGAACAGCTGATTATAGTCGCATGTGGTTGACGACTGCACCGTCCCACATCAAAAATCGATGTGAACGTACGGGATCAGGTCGCGTATGACCTCCGGGCATTCATCCCTGCTATTCATTGTAGGGTTCTTGGCATTTATCCAAAAATCCTCAAGAAGTTTTCGCGCTGATGTTCTAGACTCCTGTGCAAGGATATTGACTTTTACTTCAAAATCGTCTCCGCTATGCTTTTGTATCCTATGCGTGCCTAGTGGGGTGCTTCGTCTTAGTTTTCGTTTGCCATCCAGGTGTTCTTTTATACGGATTCACAAAGGTCTGCCCGTTTCGCCAATATATTCATCTCCGCAATTGTTACAAGAGATCAGGTATATTTTTTTGGGATTTTTGGTTCCAAATTCAGTCTGAGGAAGTGCGGGAAGACCCCTAGTAGTGATATTCGCATAGATGTTCCTCTTCAACTTTTTGAATGTTTAAAAAATTAAAGAAACAACTCAGTTTTGATGTCTATGGTTCCTATGCCACATAGAGTTCCTCTAAATAAATATTACTTCGTTCCGGAGTAGGCATTGTAGGCATCGAAAATGTGAACAAAGAGTTGCGAACAGTGTCTGAATACCTTGTTAAGAACATTTTATTACTATTTGTTCCTATTATTCTCAGTGGCTGTAGGAATTAGTTTTCTGTTTGACTTTTCTTATGATATGGGATTTCTCCAATCGTATTGTTAAGGTAACTGCTTTCTTATAAGGCGAAAGAATGACTTTTATTGCTTAAGCTTTCGATGAGCATTATTAAAGGAAGCAGCCGGTATAGTTTTCGTAACACTGATAGTGTCAGTCAGTAGATGATTGAGAAACACTCAGTGAATTGTGGCCTCTAAACGTTTTTTAGAGCTTCGAAAATATGCTGAGAGATCAGTGTTTAGCTGATCTAAACTTTTATCAAATTATTAGCATATAAAGTACAAAACAATAAATGTGCACCAATAAATCCACGAATAGGTGAATTCTCAGTATTCGAAAGAGATATGAACACTGAAAATATTCATTATCGTTTTAGATGGTTGACTCTCTCGTCACTTCGCCGTCATCGTCATCAGTTGGCATCAATCAAATGATGGGAGCGTCCCAACCAAGCGAAAACAGTGAATTATGCTACCTCGATCCTAAGGTTATGCATACAATATCTCGAGAGTGCGTCCTTCCAATGCTTTCTTTTTTCTAGAAATTTCTGGAAGTATTCAGTTTTTTACTACTGACAACATACTGTTGATGATCTCAACATTCGGATCGATTTTTATTACTAATATAATATAAGATGTATACCATATATCGTAGACCTAGCTTTGTCTTTATAAGGAATTTACATTCAATTTAACAAAGAAATCTGAAGTGTTTGTTCTTGCAGCACATCAAATGCTGTCCGTTCTCGACAACCACCACCACAAGACGTTATGCTGTTCGTCATAGGTGGAGGAAATTATGTCGAATATCAAAATTTAGTTGATTATGGTAAATCAAAAGGTCTACAGCGCGTAACGTATGGATGTACGGAGTTGGTCAATCCTAGACAATTTACCGATCAGGTGGGTATTATTTTTCCCTGTGCATATGCTTGACCCTTGCAATAAATTTCTTCCTTAAGTTCCACATCACAGTTAAGAGAAAAGAATTTTTGCTTTTCAATGTCGTCTATCGGAGAAGTGAAGTTATTAGGTATCTTTGATCTAATATCAATAGTATCGTTACTAACTATTGAGCTTCTTTGGCGCTTACTAAAGTGTTTGGCTATTATATCCTGGCACTTTTATATGCCTTCTAAAGAGAGCTAATGTTTCAGTTCAGTAATTTTCTAAGAGTTCACCGATAGATTACTAGATAGCGAGCGACTTTTCTTGGTAGAATACATTCATATATTGGAAACATTTTCCTTTGTTGCCTCTTCAATTGCATGTTTTTAAGAATAATTTTAGTCCAGTTCAAGTAGTTGTTTCTTTTGAATGTAGTGTACAATGTCTAGCTTTTTATTTACTGCCTATTTTTTTAAAGTAATGCATTATGGCAGCCAAAAAAAAACCAGATGAGAGTAAGGGAAAACAACGGCCGCTATGATGCAGTGAATAACACGTGAGTCTTCGGAAAAGATAATCGCGGGTTCGAAGCTCACTTGAGATCTTGAGTTCTGCTCATATCTCAGCATCATTGTGGATACTTTAAAAGCGTTTATGTGTTAGCTTAATGTTGTATATGATCCGAAGCGATGCATAATAGGGTGTAATGAGAAAGCAGAACTTTCCTGTGTCGTTAGTTAACTCTCTTTATTATTGACCAAGAAATGGTTATGCTCTCTATCAATTGGTTTATGAAACGCGAAAAATTAGTTGGAGGAAGCCTGAAGACGTTTTTCAGCTCTGAGACTATGCACTCATTACACTGCCTTTACATATATGGTGGATTAGGTTAAGAAGATTGTTCTTCCTTCAATTTCTTGTAGTCAAATTTTTCTTTCTTATTCCGATCTATATATAGATATATTATAGATAGTTTTATCTTGCATATGAAAATAGTTGTGTGCTTAGTAATGCAGTGTTCGTTTGAAAAACTAGTACAGACCACTCACTCCTGGTCATAATAACATCCTCAGAAAGCATCCTTTCTTTTCTTTCGGAAAACAAGTGCAGGCTGTATGATTATGTAAATATTTAGAGTTTATTTTAACGCTTGCTAGCTTAGAGCAATGTAACTTTTTTGCATTTCCCACAGTTTTTTGTTGGGTTTGTATTCATTAGTTTAGTGATGTTGCAACAGTTTTGTCCAGGGCGGAATATTTAGTTGCTTATGCAAAAAGATTGAAGCGTTCACTACATTTGTTGAATTCGAGATTATGGAAGAGAGAAAATCGAAAGGAATAAGAAAAAACAAAAGAAGGAGTTCACGCCGCTACGTTGTAGTATGGTCTGTTTAGTAGATCAATATGTAATGGAATCGTAGTTGTCATCAATACATTATTGTTAGAATGAGTTAGTTTGAGAGTATACATGCCTACTCGAATTGGACCAAGTGCATGGATTGAATCCAGTAACGAAGTGCTGTATGGGCAGATAACTCCCTCCTACTTCTTTTCCTACTCAGTTTCTTTTTCGTATTGTTTTTCCCTTCTTGTCATCATCTGCATCGTCTGTCGTCCCGTTGATCGTCGAGTGACCCGAGCAGACGCATGTAAATCTTTCATTTTCCCATGTTGCGTGCAAGAGCATCCCGGTGTGTTCTGCTCGACCTAGGGACTCATTGAGCATCATACCTTTCTTCTAAACTTTTCGTGAAGAACTCTAACCATCGAGTCAGTGGTCTTCCTGCAGTGCGTTTGACATCCAGAGGAATCCAGTCACTAACGGCTCTTGTCCATCGGTTGTCATTCATACGCATCACGTATCCGGCCGACCTTATCTTCGACAGTTTGGCGTATAGAACGGTATCTTTGATTCTTGATCGTTGGTGTAGGTCGGAGCTTCGGGTCCCCTCCCTTGCTTGTGTGAAACGGGGTACTCCTAACATTATCCTTTCGACTGCGCGTTCAATAACGCTGAGTGATTTTTCATCCTGCTTACGCAGCGACCAGGCTTCTGACACATACGTTAAGGCAGGAAGTATGGCAATATGGCAATCTTGCCATGACGGTGTTTTTTATTTCATAGAGGAAATTTGTTACACGATGTCGTTCATGAATTCTATTCAATTTTAAATGTTTTGTCTTGTTAGCTTTTTTGTTCTCGATTGATCATTCATAGAGAGATGGATGAACGCCAAGTTGTAAAAGAAGTCCATATTGTAATGTAATGTGGTGTTAATATAGGGCATTCAGGTTTTCAACGTTTTCTAATCACACTTAGGTTATAGGTGACCTGGATGATAGGTGTAGCGTTTCGGCTCATATAGTCAGTTGTTTGAGCTTAACTAACTCAGTTACATCTAACTTACGTTCTGGTTGAATCGAGAGTGACACTTAGATGCATGGAAGTTAAATATTACAAAATGTTGTCTCACTGAGATCCTGTTTTGACTTAATAAGTAAACATTGACCTCGAAACTATTTGTTGATCTCTATCCTACAGATCTATAAAGAGGTTTTTTGCAAGCGCATGAATCTATGCTCTACTACGTTGCCAATCATTTTTAAATCATGATAATGCATTCATTTTGACCTTGTATTAATAAATTGCTGAACATATTATTGTAAGAAGACGCGGTATACTGCAGTGGTCAGAGTTGCCCTACAATATAATCAATCACGATCACGATCACGCGTCCCAGGCTCGCCAAGCCTTTCATCCCTTTGAGCTGGTCAGATTGGTACCAGTGCTGTCTGGGAGGACAGCAGCGTCGAGTAGGCCCCTATACGTCGGTAGGCCACCACTAGTCATTGTATAGGCCAAATATACATTCAGTCACCTCTAACGATGCGTGACGATGTCGAATGCATAGCGCATCCCTCAGGGTTTGATTAACGTCGAGAGCCTGTCTTTTATTATTGTAAGAAATCGTCTCTAGTTCTGGTGATAATGTTCCATTTGTTGTCGCTATTACTTTATTCAGTTCTGGAGGTAGTATTCTATACCCAGATGACGTTATACGATAAAAACCGTAGAAGTAATGAAACATAAACAAAATGTTGATAGCAGTTATGTGGATGTGTGCAGAGTTCATCACTTCACGAAAGCAGACTAATTCTTTTGTCCTGGCCATTCTAGTTTTGTTTTCTTCCCCTATTTGACAAATTTTGAATTTCAAGCTGATCCTAAATTCAAAAATGACCTTTATTATTCGCTACACTGCACTTGTTGTTCTGTGAACTTCTCGTTAGCAGAGGAAGTCTTTAAAGTTGCTGGTTTCTTAGTTTCAACCGAGCATTGTTCACGAACGGACACCATTTTATGATATATTGAAATTCGTTTCTATTTATGGTCTTCATTCAATTTCCTAGGGTAAATTAAGAAAAACCGTTGAAATTTTTGGAATCTACAGGTATTTGTCAGCGAGAAACAAGTTATTCATTTTGGCTGCTTAAAACGCTGGAGTTCTCTATACGATGATGTCGAAGGCACTTGCGACGTCGGTATAGTTTGTAAAGGATTTCTTGCTCTGGAAATTGCTGAGATGCTTGAAGAAGTGGTAATCAGTAGGCGAAAGGTCAAACGAGTAGGGTAGATGAGACTGTTTCGTAGCTCAACTCGTTCACCCTTTGCCGCTGCTCGATTATGTAGTCGCACGTCGGTAGTGGGACCTGGTGCCAATTTGTGCGGTATCCATTTTTCGAGCTTCTTCAATTTCTTCATTACCATCAGATGTTCTGAAGCAGTCGAGAAGCTTATCTTGAGTTTTTTCTGCAGGTCACCAAACAATTGTTGTAAATCTATATGCATTCACCAAACCCTTAAATTCATCGTCGTCACGAACTGAAGAACGTCTGTGACCTCGCCTGGCTTCAAGGTAGAGTTCGCCACGACGAAGTTTTTCAAAGCAACATTGCACTGTGCATTCCTTAACGCTTGCTTTGCCAAATACTTCGCAAATGTTTGAAGCCTTTTGCGCTGTGTGCACACGAGTTTGAATTCCTTGAAGTGGGCTCTTTGGGCATCTGAAATTCTAACCTTTACGGGCATACAAAAAACGCGTTTTATGCTATAATTCAATTGTACCAAACGAATGTTCATAACGTGATCTTCGCATTGACATAAAAAAGTGCGTCATACGAAGAAAATTGTTACTAAAACACTTGTGAGGATGTTAAACGTTACAGTCCTGCGCTTATTTCGAAACAGCCAAATATTAGTCCGTTATGTGTACATCTCTCATTCTGAGGTTGCTATCCACTTTATGTGGCGACTTTTGCTTTAGGTTTCTTTTAAAAATTATCAATGACACTTCGTGCTAAGACGTCTTAAATACTCATCTTTTATAGCTCTAATTTTGATCTGTTCTAGATTTCTTTCGTTTCCATCTTCTAAAGTCCATCTTCTCCCAACGGTTTACCGCCTCATCGTGGGTGGGAGGTGTTCCTGGATGTCGGGCTACGATGTACAGCAGGGGAATTCATCCCCCATAGGGTCTCCCAAGCTCGAAAAGAGTCAGGTGTTTCCACCAGGAAGCCCAGCTAAGAGTAAACCAATACCAGAATCCACCACCGTCCTGGTATCAAACTAGTCGCATGGTGGCAAACCTCCCATACGGTCACCGACTGCCTGTAATGGTGGCGACTTTGGCCCGGCTGACCTCGGAACTCCAGAGAAACACTATGGCTAAGCCAGCAAAACTCCGAAAAATGGAGAATTTGCTGGGTTCCGCACAACCAGTGAGGTCGAGCCGTTCAACTATCCAAGTAAAATGTCTAAGTATGATGTATGTGTGGTTTCTTTAAAAATTTACTCCTTAAGTTGGGTATGAGAAAGAAATTCGTTAACCAAATTGGGAATTTATTGCACTTGTTTTATACTTGCAGAAGTTTAAGCAAAAGAAGTGTTTTTTATTTTTAGATTTTTTTTATCTCGTTTTATTTCCAAATCTCCTTTGCCGTTTAGATGGAATCTGCGGTGTCTCTGTCATGTCACATTAGTTTCTGCCTTGTGCCCTTTACCGCATTTTTCTCTGATTGAATTTAAGTTACTGGAAAATTCTCCTTAAGCTATGGTATCACGAAAAAGTTTTTCGTGTCGATCTAGGGATTTAATTTTCTGCTTTCTAGTTCTTAAAACAAGTTTTCATGTGAAATCTCTACAGTGTTTGTTCACAGGAATTTGTTGTGGTTTGGAATGTTACCAAATTTCTTTTGCGCTCTTAGAATATTCGCTAAATGCTATCAGTTATGTTAATCTTTTATTACTGCCTACTACAATTTCTCACGGCAGGGTATTATGTGATTTCGACTACAGCCTCAGTTTAACTGGGTTCGTTGTCGATTTGAGCTCCCCAAATCAATCTCTTTGACGGGTGACTGTTGACGGCACTGGAGGATAGAAAATTAGCTGAGAGAAAGCCGAAGAAGGACCTGCATGATGTGGTGGTGAACACGTTAGCCTCCGGGAAGGGAATAACGTGTTCGTTCCTCACCGCAGACACCTGTGCTCTTGAGTTTTTCAAATATCTCAGCATCATTGTGGCTATCGGTTATGTTTTTCAGTGGACTTAGACAAGTAAAACTCTGAAAAACAACGAGGAAATTGCTAAATTTCTTTCTTTTATTGTAGCTAAAACTATTTTGTTTGCATTGATAACTTATCATAAGAGGTTGTTGCCAAATATTCGGCTTACGTTTCGACATATTCATCTTCATCAGAGCAAGGAAACACCACATTGTGAAGACGAAAGACTATGGATCATCGACTCGCATCATCAACTCTGATGAAGACAAATACGTCTAAACGTTAGCCAAATAAACGTTTGGTGACAGCCTGGTGTTAGCTTATCAATGAAATAAGTGACGTTTGCTCAGTTTAAGTTTGTTCTTCTGATTTCGTATTGGTCGGTTTGTTACG